CACTGCAAATGGAAACAGAGTTCATGCATTGGGTCAAATTACAAAAGCTCAAATTTGTATTCAAGATCTGATCATCCCGATCAAACTGCAGGTCATTGAATCACAAGAAGAAACTCTTTTTTTAGGAATTGATTGGTTTCAAAAGATGAGGGCCAAGTGGGATTTTGATACTCAACCTCAAGCAATTCTTATATGCCAAAATCACTCATCCTTCAGTGATACCATATTATATGGACCCTAAACTCAAGTATTCCGCTGGTTTGCCTTATCTCACTAAACTTAAAACCAGACAACAACTTTGCGAAATGGGATATGAAGCCTCATTAATAGAATCGACATTGCAAAACTTAAGAAATGGGATTTACCCAAACCAATTTTACCATGCATTCGGTAAATCCCAAGTCGTTGATTTGTCTGCAATCGTGAGTGGCAAGGACATCTGAACTGTCTCAGCACAGGATTTAACCAATTATTATCTTGATCAAGTCATACAATTAGATCGTAATAAAAGGATCACATGGCAAACAACCGGTATCGGAATTGACATGATCTTAAACCAAAATACAGTATGGTCTTCTTATTTGAACAGATGATGCGTTTTATGTCGGAGGGTGGAGTTATGTTAGAGGCAGACGCAATAGCGTTTGACTCACATTTAAATCCATTTTCTTTCAAAGGGTTAAAGCGTATGACCGAAAGATCCTTTAGCAAGCATTCGAAGAAGGACAAGATCGTTTCGCTTATGAATTGCAAATATGACAAAATGCAAGATGCATATATATTTAACATCACTGAATACAACCACAAGATATTTGCTTTGTCCCTAGATAATCATGGGGTGTAAGTTGATCTATCACAAATGGTTGAGACTTCATTTTCGGTTTCTTTATCTGAGAAGAAGTGGGTTAAACCGGAAGAGGTTGATAATGGATAAATGAATCTTCTACTTTCATTGGTTGGACAATATTCTTTCTTGATCGCAAGTTAAATTCTTTTGTTAATTCTGATCGTTTGACTTTTTCTTTCTGTTCTTTTTGATTGGTATTGTATGGTTTAGATCTTTCTTTTTGTTCTACATAAACCAGTTGTTCTTCTTCATCACTGGATTCTTCTTCTTCAGAAGTTTTTTTCACAGTAATATAGTTTATACATTTATCTTTCTTGACTTGTTGTGATTGTTGCAGTTGTTGATATTGAGATTGGATATATGAATTCTTTTCCAAAAGACAATATCAGACTATGTGTCCTGTCTGTCCATATTTAAAATAGACTCTTGTATCATTTCCAGGTGTGTATGCTCCTGGTGTTAAAGTAGTATTGAATTGAAAATATGGTTTATTTCTTCTTTCAATTTTTGAGTTCAAGTTTTCAATCTGTTTTGCGAACTTGAGGTGCATCTTCTCAAACTTCTGAACAAGTTCATCCATGGGATCACGAGAAATTTCTTTGCTTTTGAATCCAAAGGTCTTTTCTGGTTTGGTTCTGATTGGCTGTTCATAGTTAATAAGGTTTTGACCATTTTCGTATTGTTGGACAAGTTGTAATGCTGCATCAACATTTGCGGGTACAGTTATAGCTATAAGGGGAGCAATTTCAGATCTCAGTCCTCTGAGAAAATAACGAAGTTTCTGGAGATCTGACATATTTCCTTCAAGATCTACTTGTTTAATAAGCTTTTTAAAGTCTGTGTAGTAGAAATCCACAAATTCAGAGGGGCCTTGTCTTCTTCCTTCTAAGTCTTTAAGCCATTTGTTTTGCCATCGTTGAGTACAGAATTTTGTTTTAAAAGCAGTTTCTATATCTCCCAATTGATAGGCATTTGCAGTATAGTCAGATCCATTAGTGGTAACATAATTGGTCCACCAGTTATCAGCTTCATCTTGGAAATAGGCAGCCAACATTTGCATCGCCTTTGTTTGTTCCCATCCATTCGCTTGCCTAGCTTTGGCAAAGGCAGAAAACCAAGTTAAAGGATCCTGGATTTTATCTCCAAAGAAGGGTTCTATTCGAAGAATTTGATTGTTGTTGTTGGCCTTCAAGTAATCAAGTATAGCTTGTGTGTTTGCCATTGTATTTACTGGAGTATTTTCTTGAAATAATAAATCTAAATTTAAATCTTTATGATTAAATAAATAATTAATAAGAGGATTATCAAGGATAATAATAGGAGTATTTAAAATAGGTTCAGATGAATTAGAACTTGTATCTTTAAATAAATTGTTATCAATGGGTTGTATAGTAAAGAGAATATTAAGAGAAGGGGAAGGTTCAATAATATCAATATCTGCAGAATCAAAAACAAAATTGTAATAGATATTAAATGCTTCAAAAGTTTCTTTAACAATTCTATCAAGATGCACAGGTTCAGTGTATCTAATAAATAGAATTAATTGTTCTACTTTGCTAATATGGAGAAAGAAGTTACTAATGTGTTGAACAAAGTGATAATAGGTTCTAAATAAATATTGGGAAGCAGGAAAGATAATATAAAACCAATTCCAAAAATGGATAAAATAAAGATTGTAATTTTCGATAGGGGGAAAGCAAACAGTACAGAATTTGTCTGGTTGTCTTTGTTGGAGGGTCTCTTTAGTTAATTCTGGATTGTTTAAGTGTAACTGATCATACAAATAGTTAATTTGTTCAAACATTTGATAATTTATCATAAATCTTTTATCACTGGTATTCTCTTTGTTAAACTTTGGATTCCTGAATTATAGATAGTCTGTCGCTGTAAATACCTCCAATACTGAACAAAGTTTTCACAATCTTCTCTAAGATTTGTTTCTTCACAATTTCTTCAAGGTTGATGAGCTGTATCTCACAGTTACTACCAATTTGTTATATATCTTCCTACCTTAGGAGAAAGATATAGATAGAGAACTAATAGCAGGGAGACACTTTGTATGGATGGACCAATGTGGTATGCTAAAGTTTATAAGGGCATACTAAAATTAGTACAGTTCTGAGGTGTATGAGGTTAAGCGAAAGAGGCAATGGTGATTTGTTTTATAAAGGTCAAGTTATTTTATTAATAAAGAGAAAAGTTCAACTTTGCAATTCCAGAAGGAATTGGAGGCATTTATATACATATTTTAAATATATGATTTAGTACATGATAAATATATGCTATATGTACTATTTGAGTTATGAGAGAGATACTATCTTCATTAAAACAATTTACTATATGTATTTTCATAAAGAAAAGTACTCTGGCGGAGATGAGTAGTTAAAGATAAATTAGAGAAATAAGTAATATTCTAAAGCAAGGATAGCATGAAAAGCACAGTGCTTGAAGATAGTAGATCAGTAATACAAAGATTATTCTAGAATAGGCAATATTACAAGAGTAAATGCTACTAAAAATTGAACAAGAGTAATGAAGATCATTAAGCGAAAATCAAGTATAACAGTATTAAACCAGGGACATGTATTTGAAAATCAGGAAGCACTACTCACTGTACTATTGATACTAAAGATTATGAAAATGTCAAAGATTATAAAAGTATTAAAGATTGATTAAATCCATAAGAATAAAGATTTTGATTAGTTAGAGATATAAAAGGTAAGAGCAAAGCAGTTTATTTTTTATTTTTTTTAATTCAACTAGCTAGGTCTTGCCTAATATGCTTTATTTAGTTACATATATATATTTTTTACAAGAGTTACTATCTATAAACTATTCTAGATGCATATTAGGCTATATCGAATTTCTCCCATATCAGCTTGTTACTATTAACTTGTCCTACTGGTACATGTCAAGGTTAACATGCCAAGGCTCCATCAGTGTTATTATTGTATAAATAAATAAAATTAAATTAATAATATTTTCTCCCTGGTTCAGCCAGTTGCTTATCAGCTTCTGCTACATGTTTGATATTTCTGCTTGTCTATTCATTACACCTTGTTGATTGGATTGTGTGGTTAATTGATTATTATGTGAGTGCCCTCTGTTCTTACTTCTTTTATCTATTCTACTAATATTTTTACTTTTTTTCCATTGTTAAAAACATTCGCATCTTTGTATCCATATTTTTTGTAATATTTCTGTCATTCTGCTTGTTACTTTTTTAATCATGTCTTTTGTTTTTGTCCTATTTGCTCATTTAATCAATAAAATCAAATCTTTGCTGAAGATTCTTTTAATTATGTATTTGAGATTTCTTTCAGAATTGTTATTATTTCCTCTAGCTGGCTTTACCAATTTAATTTGTTTCCCTTGACCTCTATTCTGCTTAAGATTTTCTCTTTTAGGACTTTCAAGAATTTTGATCTTACTTGGTCTGTATGATGTTCCCTATATATGTGTTCAGCAGTTTCCTGTTGATCACACTAAAGGCATTTTCTATCTTTATAGAGATCTGGTTTTCTTTTGTGTAGTTTATCTTTTGTTGGCAATTCCTCATTCAGGAGTTTGTATCTAAACGCTTTGATGTTGTGGTCTTGTTGGTTGGTCTCAAAACTGGTAATTTTTGATAATAACAAACTGGTCCATATTCTTTTCCAGTCTATTTCCTTTTCATTGCCAGTTCTTAACCATGTTTTATGTCTTCTTTGTGTTGCCTATATACAGATCCATTTGCTATTTTGCCAGTATTTTATAAAGCTGCTGATACCAATGTCAAGGTCCTCTTTGCTCCATTGCAATATATAGATTAAGCTTTTGATTTGTTGGCTTTTGATTCTAACAGTCCACTCATATCCAAGCTCTCTTCCTTTCTTTACTAAAGCATCTGCTCTTTCATTATTGTTATTTCCTATATGAGTCTTAATTTTTTTGAACTTTGTTGCTGCTTTTCTGGATTGGATTTTATCTATAATAAGAATTGTCAAAAGATTTGTTGCTTTTGCCAAATACAGTTTTCTAAAAAGTTTGAATTGTATTGCATATATTGTACTTTGGCTATCTGTGTGATTGTTACCTTTGTGTTTGTATTTGTGACTGCCAGTGCTGTTAGTATTGCTACAAGCTCTGCTCTTGTTAATGATGGGAAGCCTACACATCTGCCTTTAAACTCGACTTGTGCTTGTATTTCTTAATAGATGATGATCCCTCCTATCTCCATTTTGACTTGCCTGTTGATGTATTTGTCCAATGAGCCATCTGTATAGATGTCAACTATTTTTTAATTCTGAATTGTTCTTTTGGTTTCTTTGAGTTTCTCCCTGATTTGTGATATAATTTCAGTTCTTCCAGGTCTGTTGTGTTTGTTGTTTCATTCTCTGTATCATTAATAATGATCTGAGGAATGTCTGTTGTTTCTGATGATACGTGGCTCCAATTATGAATTTGTCTAATAGAGTTTGGTGATACTTGAACTTGGGGAAGATTATTTATTATGGGATTGTATTGTTTTGAGCTATTTTTTGTTTTCTTGACTGGGATAGCAATTGCCTCTTTGGTGTTAACTTCTCTGATACATTTGTTTGGTTTTTCTTGTGT